TTTCCAGCAAAAAGCTAGGGCATGGCGTCCATAGTTCTAGCCCGCCACGAAGCCACACTGAATGCTGGGCGATGTCACGAACACGGCCATCAACAATTCGTTCGAAGATCTTCGCGGTGTGCGAGAGAAGACGAATTGAACTGTCTGCCTACAATCTGCCAGGCTACTCTTCTTCCCAATGGGGATCGTCAAGCTCTGCAGCCAGTACTCGGACGCCTTGTTCTCTTCGAAGTAGTTCGATCTCGGTTGAAGAGCATCGTCAACCACTCTGCAGAAAAGCAGCGTCGTGACTTCCACAGATAAGCTGCTGGTCGTCAGAGCCTGTTGCTTTGCCGACCTTTACCTTCTTCAGAGCCGATTCTGTTTCCTGTACGGATGTCTTCTGAACGAGGCCATATGTTCGTGAGGCATAAAGGATATTCGGATAGCTGAATACTACGGTTGTGATGCTCTGCTCCGAAAGAGGGTTGAGCAAGATGCTGTGATGAAGTATTCACACCATCTTGCTCAACCCTCTTTCGGTTCATTATAAAAGGCCATTCTCGTCGTCTCCAAAAAATTCCCTACTTTCGCTTTGGCGATGACCAGATTTGTCAAATCCGTGCAGATACAATCCACGGCTGCGCGTCACCAGTTTCTTGATGAAAGAGAGCGACCTTCACATCAGACATGGCCTCTTTGTCTGGCAACCTTGCTTGCCGCGTGCTTCTGGCAGTTGTCAGCGCGACTTAGTGCTCTCAACACTTGGTACAGCCTTCTTCTCACGAATCTTTGCTGATGACGTTATCCTTCCAAGCCGGGCCTCCTATCAGTTCTGCCGTCCGGGCTTCGTTGTGCCAGGTTCGGAGCGGACGGGCTGAATTGTCAATCTAGCGGTTTCTTTCCAGATTTGTGGACAGTTTTGGCTTTGGGCGACCGAGTGCGCAGAAACCGCACCAGCTGGGCCTGCCTGCTGTCTTCTGTCGTATCTCTCAGTTTTTTGCCACAGACCACATTGCTCGACCTGTTGTTGATCTGTGGAGCAGCAAAATTCATGCGTGCATATCAGCATTTCTTGCTGGCACATCGTTTTCATATGGCACTAAGGCTTGCCATCTGTAGCGAATCTTGATAGCAATGTCTGACGATGACCGTCTCACTACGCTTTTTGCTATTTCGCCGCTTGCGTTGCGCGAACTCGTGTTCAGCATGATCAGAAATTTCGCAAAAGTGATTCCCATCTCATTACCTTTTACAGAGACAACGCTTGTCTGCATACTCGAGGAACTCGTTCACCATCGGCGTTCGTGATCAGTAACCGAATCCACCACGGAAAAGGAAGCCGTCTTTCGCAGCGCTTACGTGCCCATTCAGGTAGCCAGCTGCAGCTGTAGCGTATGCTGGTATCTCAGCCGTGTTCCGAGTCTCTGGATTGAGCGGGAACACACTTCGTGCTGCATACCAGAAGAAGAAGTATGGCCGCTGCTCGCCAGCGACAACAGTCTTCATCAAACGGTCCCCAAATGAACTACACTAGCAATCAGGCCTGGAATAGCCGAGACACGACTACCACTTGTGGTTTTCGGCACGCCAGAAGAATGTCTTCAAAGCCGCGGCCAATTTCATTCGACTTGCAACCGGCCCATCTCGTCTCTTGCCACACGATCCTTTTACGCTCTAGTGTTTCTGCCAGCGCACGCGATCCCCCTGCAATCGCATGGTCAGTGTCCCAATATTTAAGCGTTGCAAAACGAGCCTACAACACGCTGTAGGACTTTCGGACCAGCCTGGTTGCCCGACTCCGTCCTTGCGGAGACCCTCGCATACTTTTCACACTCGCCAGGCCTTGCGAGTGCGCGCTCCTATGGACGCCGTAGCATTATCAGATTTCAATATAGATAACCTGAAGCAGTTGATATGCAGCTGACCATGAGCTTGGGCCGACCGCGCAGCGCAAGGGCCTGTACCATGCCATTCGAATGTCATGTTTCAGCTTAGCGAAGGCAGTCTTCTATGAGACACCACGTAGAAGGAATACGGACTTCACTACACCTCCAGGGGACTACCTCTGGTTTAAAATAGTAGTCAGTTCAGCAAACTCTGTTTGGATATAAATCAGGATCAATTTTCAGGGGGGAAAACTATTTCGGAAGTTAAAGAAAGACTCGGGTGCGTGGTGAGTCCGATTTTTTTTGTTCCATTAAAGACAAATTGCACACTCATCTACAAGAAGGGTCCCTCCTCCCGTGAGCCAGGTGAAGAGATTCGCGATACTGCCTACTTTTTCTGCTCAAAGCGCACGGAGAACGGGGGCCTGGTCACTACCCTTGATTTGCAGCACTTGCGCGAATAGCACGATTCCACCTCGAAAGACGCTCTCAGCGGTAGAGTCACCAGTCGGCGCAGACAAATGGCGCGTTTGGTTACAGTCAGGCGTGTGGCTTGCCGGGCATGAGCGCCGGCGAATTGTGGAGGCGTCACTCCTGTCCCGTTCCCGTGCACTTTTCAGCGAGAAAGTAGCGCTCATGCTGCAGCGGACCCATTCACTTCATACATCGAGGACAGGGATCCACGGAGGTGAGTGTGCGGCTTGTCCTTGACTATTTGCTTCTGAAATTCTTGAAAAGTGGCTAAGAACGTAGAAACTGAGTATTCCGAACGCGTTTCTACACTTAGGAAGAATTGATGCGATTTCAGTGAAAAGAAGAAGTTATTTTCCGTTCAAGAGTCTTTGTCGTTACATCTACCCCGTGCACCAAAAGGAAATCATGATGCTGAGTTGGATGAAATGGTAAGACCCCTGGCGGGAACTTAGCTGGTATTCCCTGTCAATATCTCGGCTTTGAAGAAGGCGTGCCCACGAGGCCAGTTCTAAATGGGACGGACGGTGGTGCCTGTGTATCTGTGGAAAGTCAGTAGGAAGGACAGGGCACCTATACGTTGGAAAGTCGTATTCGATATGAGGGGCGTGTGATTTGGTTTGGGGAATCTTTCCACGATTGAAAATTTCCCTTCCCTCCTCCATTACTGGTGGTGGGACAAGACTGGTGTTTCCTGAAAGTCGATCGAAATGTCCCCCTTTGCTTGACGGTGAGATTTTTGAGAACTTTCGTGAGGGTACGATGTGGGAGGGATTCGTACTGAGGAGGAAATTTGGGAAAGATGTTGTTTCTCAGCAAATCTCCCCCAACGCCAGGAGATGCCCTCATAAGGGAGCGCAAACGGCAAGAAAACGAAGTACGCTTGTCTACGGCCACCGGCGGAATTCAGATTGCCGTCCGCACAGTGAAGTCCGTTGACACGCCCCCTCCAATGCCGAGGCATGATCTGAAGGTGTTCCTCACAGTCCAGTGAACATATTTGTTCAGGAGAAAATTCTTGAAGAAGAAAGTAAAATGCCATAATAAAAAATAGTCATGAGAAGGATGAAACGATAACAATTTGACGATAACATTCGCTTGAGTCAAGATTAATCAGAGTTGTTTAACTATTGAATAAATTGAGATTCTGAAGTAAAAAGCAATTACGCATCACAATTAATCAAATAACGGAATATTCCACAAACTGTCTGAAAGGAGGCTCATCACTTGACAAGGAGATCTAATCAAGACGAGGAACGGCTACATGGAAGGGTTCTGCGAGCTCCGGAAATAAAAAAGGTCCTCTCCCCGAGCAGTTAGACTGCATTTAGACTTCGCGACTGCGCGCGTCGTCTGAACGCAGCCTTATGGAAACCCCAGGAAAGATTTTCATACACTGTATATAATTTGCTCGTTTGTTTATCTGGAAATTGGGTTCTACCTGAAGAACATTTTGGAGAGATCGGGTCAAGGTTTGGATGGGAAGAGCATGGGGCAAGTAAAGAGCGCACATAACCCATGGGTAGCTCAGCCTACAATGGGCGGGAAGTGCGCCGCAAGTTAGCGGTGACACTGAAGAACTGACTCGCCTTCATAGCAGCTCCGAGATAGGGGAACAAGTGGAGTAATGTTAGCAGGGGTTGACAGAACCAAATGGAGAAGACACACCCACAAAGGGCGGGCATACTTGAGATAGATGATGCTTCCACAAGATTCACTTAAAATGGATGATGCTTCCACAAGATTCAGTAACTAGATTTCTAAAAGCGTTTGGAGATCTCAGAAAAGGTCCTGACATCTGGCGGAGCATATCTGTTATATGTTGAGAACCGCCTGGACGGGGCGTGCCCACAAGCATGAAGTACTCATGGCAAAAAGCTGCAGTACAGTTTACAGATACCACAAAAAAATAATGTGGTCAGTAGGGGCCATCGGTTGATAGTGCGGGACACATCCGACTGGTCTAATCCTAATAGCCCTGCGGGTTGAGCACTTTGGCTATCAAAGCTACTTGTTCCATATCTCGGAGCTGCAAATAAATTGGGAAATGTGTAGTAGACGACTAAATAAATCGTCCTCCCAGGCAAGAAGGAGATAGGCAGGCACGCGCGGACGATTCAGCACTTTCTGACCAGAAGTTCATGGCAAAGATGACGTGGGCCCTGCACGCCGACAGAAGACGTCTAACGTCAGTGCCGCATAAAGGAAAGACGACTTGCCCGTCCATGCGCTCTCCCGCTCTTCGTCGTCCTGGTTATTGTCCCCGCAGAATCCATATCTGAGGGCAGAAAAGGGTGTCACGTCGACGACTGCACACTCCTGCGATGATTCTTGTACGGTATTCTTGTACGGTAAAGGGTACGGATTCGTTACGTTGTTGCTGCATACTAGGAAACGCCTCTTTCTCCCCTCAGATATGGACGATATGATCCTTTTCGTTGGTTATGCGATTCTCCAACGATGCAAAGGGAGAACAGGTCTTACAGTAAGTATGAAGTTCTTCGGGAGGCCAGAAGAGCTTATCACCTCCGATGAGCCAGAGAGGAATGAAACTTATCACAGGCATGCAAAAAGGTGCTCATAAACACGTGCCACTCATTTCCTCAGTTTGTCAGCTGCCGAAGGGCAGCAGTTCAACCACCATTTCACACCACCCTACTTATGTCTGCGTTTTCTGCAAAAGTTGTTCAACATAGTATTAATCAGCTGCTCATCAATACGATTAACGATGCCGAAAAGGTGGGTACTGTAACAGTAGAAGTTCATCAGGCGTCAGCATCAGCTAGCACCGTTCAGATGCTTTTGGATCTCCCACGAGATGGTGATCGAGTGGAGGTGATCACTTCGTCGTCTCATGAAGTCCGATCGCATAGTGCTTGTGGTTTCGGACCACGAAAAACCACACAAGACGTCGTTGTTGACACGACCAGTCAAATGACGCCCACTCCAAAATCCGATGAACTACAGAGGAAACTTGGATATCCTGAAGAATCAACTAGCGGCTCAACGGTAATGCTTTCGGACCGACATACAGCGCCTATCGGAGCGGGCGTCCCTACGTGTGTACGTTTTGGCCTGGCGACAGCCTTTTTCCATCGCCCAGAGTGGCAACAACAGGAAACGTGGAAACGACCTGGCGCAGGGCCAAAACGTAAGAGCGGGAACGCCTCCACCCTAGAACTCGTTAAGCACTATACGCGGCTTGGTGGTCTTCACAGCTGATGAAAGGCGCGGTCCACATTTCCCGATATAAGGTACCACATTACAGGAAGGAGAGTCGAATAAGGGCAGTTCTCAAGCGTCTTCATTACCAAGAGACAAGCCATCGCCGTCTGGTTTGCGGCTCAAAAGGAAAACGGATGGTGAACGAAAAAGGTGCGTGCACCCACGCTCCACTGAACCTTTCACAGAGGGCTAACGTAGGGTGTTACAGCTCCAAATCGCCAAAGAAGATTGCTGAAAACGCTATCAAACGCGTCCTTCCAGATAAGGCTGAAGTAGTTCCCGGCTCAGTATGTTCAAAATACGACAGATTCTCCAGTTCTTTAGACCAGATCATGGCTCTCAAATAAGTACACTACCCTGGGCAACAGGATTTGCGGGAGGGTCGCGGCGAGACTGATGCGTGCCAGTAAGTTACCAGTTGGAGATAAATGACGTGTCATTTACGTCACCTAGCGCGCTAATAACGCGTCTTCAGATATCATTAACAACGGTTTCCACATGTTT